ATAAACACAATCATGATGATGAAATTCGCGTCTAGATGTTTTGTTACTGTCGTTGTTGCTGTAGTTGCTGCTTTTTCTGTTCTTTAATATAGCTTATATAATATTCACTACGCCAACAACAATAACAATTGTATGCCCGAGCTTAACTTCCGGTCTTTTGTTCGTCAGACATTGCTCTCGTGCCATAAACAAAATTTTTCTAAAGAAATTCGCAGACAATGTTGTATTGAAAATTATTATGGTTTCATGTTTAGCTGCATTAACAACAACAAGGGAAGAAAAGGAGTCTTGTTGTACGAGTTTTTCGGTATTACCACTATTAACAATAAACCTAACGGTACCATGAATAAACAAAAAAGTGAAAAAGAAAACACACTTATACACCCACAACAACAATAAAATAAAAATAAGAATAATAATGAAATAGCCGTTAAGCTTCATTGGGCATTGTTAAGCTGAATGTGTATACTAAATGACATTTAATCAAAGGCATCTGGTTTTCGTTTTGTAATATTTTTCCAGAATTTTAATCTTATTTACATACCATGAAGAGTAAACTATTCACCATCGTGCTGGATGTCATCATGATCAAAGTCTATTCAGAGAGAAGAGGAATCACATGGAGTCTCTTAGGCCAACTCGAAGATTTGGATTATGCGGATGGTATTCGTCTCTAGCATACAGTCAAATTTAGAAGATTTGGAAAGATTGGCATGTAATGTAGGAGTAAAGCGCAGAAAATCACAAGGAATCATGATAGATCGAGGCCGACATAAAATACATGTATGCGCACGATATTCCTAGAACTAGGACAATATAATCTTACATGGGAAGACGTAAATATAACGGCAGAAAATCGTGTAAGATGGAGATGATTTTGGAAGCTTACAAGAGGAGCAACGAAAAAACATACCATGAGAACGTATTCATAAATTAATGAATTTCGGAAGTTGGTCCTGTGTATGGACTTTGGTCATTATGTATCGATCCTTTGGAGGCATATAACCACAATTTTTCTCCATAGTATTATTATACTTCGTATCATGAAGTCCCCCTTTTGGGACGATATCTCTAATAGAGCAGACCAATCCTTAAGAGAAGTATATAGATATCGAAATAAGTTCTAATATGGGTATAGGATCGATCCTTTGGAGGCATATAACCACAATTTTTCTGTATTGTATTTTCTTACTTCGTATCCAGGATACGATATCTCTAATAGGGCAGGGTTATCCTTTAGATTTCGAAATAAGGCCTAATATGGGTATAGATGCTGTGTGGATATTATCAAGTTTTCTAGATATCTCATATTTTTTTTAAGGGCCTTCGGAAAGTTAATTTCAAAAAAATTATTTGCAAAGATAAACCTTCACCTCTATTATAATCTCATCTACTGTTCTTTCATAAAATGTTTGCAATTATTATAAAGCGCCTGTTAAAATATGTTGATGATAGTAGAAATGAATAAAAGCGTTAAAATATTTGCTATTAAACTTCATGTCTGTCATTACTTTCCCTCGTATTGTTGGTTGCTATTGTTTTCACAAAATTAAAGGAAGCATGAATGATGATGATATTGCTGCTGCTGTTGCTGCCACAGATGATGATGACGATGCTGACTTGCGACGATGACGTTGATATTTGTTTGAAAAGGGTTGCAGTATACGAGAGAACAAAAAAAAAACATTTCTTTTTACAACTTGTTTGACTTTATGCCACCTTTTTATGTGATTTCTTCCTTTGCAGTTTTGAGTATTTGTGTAGTTATGTGTTTGAAAATGTGTTTTATTAAAAGGATTTCTTTTCTTAGTCCTTTTGTTATTCTTTGAATCTTTTGTTACACAAAAACTCAGATTCTTAGTGTTGTTTGTTTTTTGTGTCGATTCTTATAAGTAACTGCAATTTTAGATGATGAATACAAACATACATATATACATACGTATGTATGTATATGTTTGGAGGGGTATTGTATAATTCAGCATGTATACAAACATGCAGATATATATCGAGTATGAGTGTTTTTAGTACCAGCAATTTTACTTGATATTCTTGATGCCCTGGTTATTGTTTCAATTTTTACAACTACAAATGTTGTATTGTTTTGTATTCCATTGAAAAGGTGCTATTTTTCTTGTTTTCTTTACATTTCTGAAGTGGGTGACAAAATCAGGAAACTCTTTAAAATGTTCTTTAAAGGTGTTGTGTAAATATTATTTCAATCTTAGATGTACATAATAATGACTTTATAAATTCTTAATGCATGTTTGAACGTCCTCGAATGACAGAGGTTGTCCGTAAACTGGAATGAAAAATATTAATGAAAAGTTTTAAGAAATGTTTATGTAAAGTGAAAGGTGCTGACAGGAAAATAAGCTTAATTTTAAAAAATAAATAATTTTTTGCTTTAGTACATTATAAACTTCTTTTCTTCTTTCTTAAGATGTAATGTAAAATTAAACGAAATATTAGCATAAAGTTTGCACCTTTTTTGGTACCAAAAATGGGATAAAAGAGGGAAACTATAATTTATTTAGAGTCATTGAGAACTTTTAGATAATGATACCAAATCATAGTTAGTACTAAATACTTTAATATTTTATTAAATCATTAGTTTTTTTTAGTGATAACATGAGAATATAATCTATTCGTCTGTGGTTATGTACTTATGAACTAGAATACTAGAATGATCCATTTTCTACTTTTATATCAAATTTTAATTGATTATATGTTTCTTTAGTGTTTCTGTTTTTTATATTCAATATTATCGAATTTTATCACGTGAATAAATTCGCATTCAGTAGAAGCGTGTATTTTTATTTTCATTCTTTTTGCTTCTACACTGTGTCTTGTGTTCCAATTCCCCATTGTAAAGAATACAAAAGGTACCATTTGAAGAATGGAAAAGTACCCAAGAGTCCCCACTTACATATTATTATTCAATCAGGACCATGTACATACATATGTTCAAATTTATGTTTCTAGGTAGAATATTTTGGAAAATTCAAAAAGTACCATTTGAATGATAAAAGGTACTAGAAAGTTCTCTCTTAAAGAATCATATTCAAAAAGAATGGAGTATGTTTAATAATCATGTGTTTTGGACTCATACCACAGAAGATACATAGAGTATCACTTGAAGAAAGAAAAAGTACCAAAAGTGGAAAGTACTAATAAAACAGAGTACCATTTTCCCTCTTTTCGTCTATGAACAGAATTTTTCAAGAATTAAGTTTACAAAATATTCCGTGTTTAAATCACTGATAAAACTTAAACGATTCAAATCTGCATTCATTTCTTCCAAAAAAATTGTGCTTTCAAAAAGTACCAAACAATTTACCCGAATTTGGTCCTATATATACCTTAGTAGCTGATTTCCAAAATAATATATCAACAGCTTAATTTGTGTGAGTAAATTAACTATTTTTTCAATTTTTATAAAAATTGTCTCAAATTGTTTGAATAAATAAAATTTCCCGTTTTTCCCCTTTTTGCTACTTTTTTCCCCAGTGAAATAGCAATAATTTTGTTTCAATAAAGAGAGTTAGTACGTAAATAAAAGTGGCCTCCGGTAGGTTAGTGGTTAGTGTTCTAGTCTGGTAGACCGGAGGTGGTGGGTTCGATTCCCACCTGAGGCACTGGTTAAGGAGCGCATAACAGGCTCCATAGAGGCCTAGGTGTATATCTTCGGATTTGATGTATATACATCCTCCTTTCAAACTAACTAACTACCCTGCGGGGAAGAGAACTGACACGAAACTTGTCACGCGCTAGTTCTAAAGTGATAGGGACCGGTTCTAGTTCTGACACTTTATATGGAGGGGACTTGTCACTTTAACATGGCGATGTCCTACGAGGGGGTTAATTGACACCCTTTTCATACTCTGTGACATGTCACGGAACTTAACTCATCGAACCTGTGTAATTTCGGAAAATATGAACCTACCCCAGATATTGTCCCAAATGAATACGTCACTGGTTCAACTTAAAGAACTACTTTCATGTGAGTTTATTTGATACCGGTATTATATATTATTACAAGAGAACTGACACAGGTCTGACCTTTAAGACTTATTCTTGAATAGTTTCAAATGCACTCACTCAAGATTAACTTAAAATAACTTATATAGTACCGGTACTAAAAGGACCTATCATGGGAATTACACTAAGTATATACATATACACAAGATTACTTTTTATTTTAAAGCAGCTAAATTTTATTATCTTTTATTTCAAAATAAGAAAAGTGATAATAATCCGAGACTCCAATGTAGCTTTAATTTTGAAATTAGTTTTTAATAAAAATAATAAGTTATACGAACTCGAGGACATTTGTTTTAAAGTTATATTATGTAATTATTTCCAATATTATGTATTCTTTGGATATCATTTTCAAGAAATAATATATATTTGTAAGACACATGTGTATGTATAATTACCTTAAAATATAGTTGTTACTATTTCTTAAAAATTATATAAAGCAATATTGAAATATTAGAAAATATATAGTACATAGAATATAATATTAAAATAATTAACCTCGAGTCGAAAAACTATTCAGTTTTAATATAAAAAAATATTGTAAGAAAAAATTTTTAATTTATAATAAAAACTAAATATTTTTTAAGGAAAATTAATATTACAAAGTAAAAATAAATTCATTAAAAATTTAACTTTAAAAAATTTAATTAAAAATTATTTCAGACTTTAATAGAATATTGGTTTTAATAATATAAAAAAATATAAATTACGTAAATTTAAAAATTAAAATTTTTTAATTTAAAAATACTATAGTTTTATAATAAAAACTAAATAATTTTTTATTCCAAAGTTAAAATAAATTCATTTAAAACTAACTTTAAAAAAATATAAATTAAAAATTATTTCAGTTAATAGAGTATTGGTTTTAAAAAAAAATAGAAAATACAAATTACTTCAATGTTAAAAATTACATTTTACGGAAATTGGATCATATATAAAAATTAATTATCATGCTTTTTCTTTTAAAATTTTTTTAAATGTCGCTTTTTTGTAAGATTAAGTGCTCTTCTAATTCTTCCCTCGATGTCATCTATTTCTGGGTTAGCTCCTACTGCATCTAAAATTGATAAATTAAATAATATTATTTATATTATTTAATAAAATAAACAAATACATAAACTAATTATTTAAAATTAAATTAGTTATTTAATTTGAAAATTTAAATAGACATTTATAAAATAATTTGTTTATAATGGAAATTATTATTATTGTTATAATTAAAAAAAGTATACCTTTTATTGCATTGTATATGTTTTCGAAATTCTTCAACCTTTTTTTTCCATGAGTCCCATCTACATTATATGTGTATAAAAGTTCTTCAGAAATGATTAAGCCTATATTTTTCACAATATTTTTTCTTATAAGGTTCTTTATTGTTGTCACCTGAAATAGATATGAGACATTTTATTAAATATTTGTATTTTTTCAAAAATTTAATTATGTACTTACATATAAATGTTTATTATTCTCATTAATTTGATTTTCAATTTCATTTAAATTTTTTTCTGAATTTATTGGAAACAGGTTTGAAAGCATATTGGATGTTTCATCCTGCTTTACTAGAATTTTGGTAAGGACATTTTGTGCTGCTAATGCTTCCATTATTTTTTTATTTTGCTCCTTTAATATTTCTGAAATATATGAAATATATAACAAAAATGATTAGTTTTAAGTAAAATAAATATATTAAAATAAATTACCTGTTTGTTGTTTGAACATATTATCTATATATGTTTTCAGTTCTGTGCAATCATGGCAGGATTTTTTCTGGGAAAATTCGGTTTCAGTGGGAATTTGGCGACTTCGTTTCATCTTTTAAATATTAAATATATGTATGTATTGGAAGAAATAAATATTAGTGTAAAATCGGAATTAATAAAAATTTGTTTTGGTAGGGAAAAGATAACATTTTATTTTCTATTTCATCGATGGAAAATTCTTCTTCTTTTGATAAATTATAATCTACCAAAATAATGCCCAACTTAATGGAATCCATTGGACTTTTAAAAAAGCTGCATTTATTGACAAATCTGATTCCTAACACTGCATTTTTTTCTTTATTAAAACCATTAATTTTTAAAGGTATTTCCGATTTTAAGTAGCATATATTGTCAGGGCTTTTTGAATTAAATACAAACCCACTTTTACAATAACTTACAATTTTCTTTTTTTCTTTAAATCCCTCATCTACTTTTTCAACTATTATTTTTTCATTCTGAATTTTATTAAATATTTGTTGAATTATTTTATTAGGTTGTTTAATATAATTTTTTAAAACTTGTAAATAATTTTCGAAATCATACGCTGAGAAGTTTGGTAGAATACCAAACTTTTTCACACTTTCACCTAAATGTAAAAGATTGTGAACGTTATGGGAAATTGAATTCTCACCAAATACAAACGCGAAGTCTTTTACAAATTCCTCTAACATATTTTGAGCCACATTAATATTTTGTTCCAAGTTCTTTTGTGCCGACAACAATCTGCAAGCACAATGCAAAAGGAGATACTCATGATAAACCTCATTTGGTACATTTTCTTTAAAAATAAGTATTCCTGTATACAGTAATATTTGGCGAAATTCTGTTGCTTTAAAATTTGCTATCTCCACCAAATTTCTAGGCCGACGAACAAATTCTTTTGAAATAAAAGAATGTAATGATTCCAAATGCCTTGAAATTTTAGAAATTTGGTCCTTCGAAATATTAAACTCTAGTTTATTATGAACTATTCTTAACATCATTTTTCGCATTATGCCTAAATCCACAAGGTGCATACTATCTATTGCCACTTGACTAACCATTTTGACTCCTAAATCCTCCAGTGGAGTTCTTTGAGAAAGAAATATATTTTTATGATGATTTTGATATTTTCTTTCTCAAAATCTTTATCAGATATTAATACCCCGGACTCGGTAGAATAAGTAAGCACCTTATTAATTTTTCTGCCCACTTGAACGCATTTGGTGCATCCGTGGGAAGATGTGTGTCCAAAAATACCACAAATAAAAGCTTTGGCCGGGGAGTCGCAAACTATTGCCCTAATTTTTAATTTTATTAACTTTCCCTCAAATTCTATGCCATTTTCAATTAAATTTTTCATTTCGAAAATAAAGTCTGCAAAATACTCGGTTATATCGTTTGGTTTATTATTGCCAAGATAAATTCCAATTGGAAGTATAGAAATATTTTTAATATTTACAACTCGCAATAATATTGGCCACAACTGTGTTCTGGAGCTTTTAAAAAGCGGCAGTCCGTCGATATTTACATCGACTATGATTTCTTCGTAGTTCGTTACCACAGAACCAATTGATTCCAATTGTTTCCTAACACCAAAATGTGAATATACACCTGGCGAGACCTGCTTTATCAAAGCTTTTTCCCTGTTGGGTATTAGTGTTTTCATACTAAGAGGAACTTCTAAATTTTCTTCTTTAAGTATAGCCAATAATTCTTCAACTGATTTTCTACTTGGTCTATTCCGAATAATCCATTCCTTCAATTTTTCACTAAGAGAACTACTGATCTCATTGTCCACATTTTCAAATGCTGCCGCTAATTTTTCAGAATCTATATGATTTATTCCACCACTATTTTCTACACTTTGCGCTTCAACATCATTCAAATTGTGGACAAATTCTCTTTTTTTCTGAGAAATTAATCTTCGTATATGCCTCTTACTTACACTTCCACCACTCATTTTACTTACCTTTAAACTTTAAATTTTATTAAATGCACACAATTTTTAATTATTTTAATATTAAACATACAAATACACTTTTACTTCTTTAATTTAACTTGTTTCCATAGCCAAAATATGAAACCGAATGACAAAAATAAGGGTGAGTTTGCAAATTACTCTAGTCCCTATATGTACTTTACAAAGAATAGACAAATACACATCAACATTACAAACAAAATCACATAAAATGGTTTTTCTGTTCATTCGTAAATAATGTCGAAAGTGTAGCTTTTCTTTTATTGTTCTTTATTATTCTCATTGTTTTTTGTTTCTCTCTAGTAGATCAAAAGCAGGAGAGTATTTTTTTTATGAGAACTAGAGTATTTTATTTAAGCGACAACATTTAAGTGTTGTTTTTTTACTGTCATTTTTTTAAATCGTATTTTGACTTTTAGTTTACGATGAATCTCATACATAGAAAATAATACCAAATAACAGCTGTGCTATTGACTTCGCCTTATTAAATTGTCCTCGATAAACGTAACTCAAAAAATTGTTTTTTATTTATGTATGGTAAGCAGTAAAAAAGAAAACAGGTTTAGTCGAAAAATAAACAATAAAAAGTTCTTAAAGAAAAATAGCGGTCATTTACTTTTATTTTTTTGTAGTTTGTTGTGAAAAATTGTATTTGTTATTTAAATTTTTGTATATTTATGTATGTATATTGATTGACCATTAATTTATTAAATATATTATTTATTTGTATTGACAAAATTATGTAATTAAATTAATGAAACATTAGCAAAAAATTGCATAAGATGCAAATAATTATAATTTTTTTAAAATACAAAATTTACTCCACATTCGTAAAAGGAGAACATGTCACTTAACATGTCCAAAAGTCTCAAGTATTTATCTATAGATTTAAATCAATTTGCTAAAACAAAATTTATTCAATATTTGTCACCTCCTAGGCTAACGCCATATTAATGTGGTGTTATAATTATGATAAATCATCATGGACAAGTTTTATGTCAGTTCCTTTAAACCAATCAGGAGATAGGTCTAGTTTTCACTTATCACACTTCTGTACTTTTTGTAATAATACTATTTTCACATATCACGGGACAGGTACTTTTGGTTCAATTGATACAAATTTCCCGCAGGGTAACTAGTACGTAATTTAATAGGTATACGTCAATAAGTCGAAAACCCTTACTTAATGTGCTAAAAAAGCACCAAAAATACAGTTTTCTACCTTTTAAATCCAAAAAGGACTGAATTTTAAAAAGAGTACGAAACAGGTGTCTTGTAATTTTGAAAGATGTATCAAAATATTTACAAAAATTGTATTAAATATATTAGTTAAAAAGGACCAAAAAAGGTTCGAAAATAACCTTTGTTACATATTTTCACCCCTTAAAAGCACGAATTTAAAAAAAGTACCAGACACCCAGCTGCCCATTTTAAGAGTAGATACAGGTGCATTTAAAAATGTTCTTGCATCACTAATATTGTACAAATTTACAAAAAATCCCTTCTTAGTGGATCTACACAACCAAAAATTTCCGATTCTAGGTTCAGCCGTTTGGGATGTGCGATGATGAATCAGTCAGTAAGTAACGCTACTCTTTTATATATGTATTTATATAAAATAGATGAAAAATTAAAATGTTCGAAAAAGTAACGTTTAATGAAAAAGTACCAAAAAGTTTCCTTTTATAGATTGTTAGACTGTTTAGTTTTATTTTCATGTGATTTGGTTCCATATTATAGAAAATACAAAAAAAAAAACCCATTTGTTAAACAAATTTGAACCAATATAGAAATAACGATAAAGTACCTTAAGTCCCCAGTTATAGAATTTCATTAACCTTTGATGTTGTGTTCTTAAATGTATGTTTCTACGATAAATATTATAGAAAATTCTAAAAGTACCAAAAAGTACTTATAAATTATCTCCCATTCAGGACCCTGGAATTCGGTCCTATATAACCTGGTATTCGAGTTCCAAAAAACACAACAATCATAAACTTAATTCCAAAAAAATGCAATACTGTAGTCAGTATGACTGATATTTCGATGCATTAAAAAACGAATTACCTTAACATAATGTTTTTTGTTAACTGTTAACAATTGACCTATTTCACTTGTATATGTATGTATATTACTATACTTTTCCTAATTAACCAGTTTGTTGTTATCATAAGTCAATTTCATCGATATTGTGATTGTGTATTGTTTCTCACAAATAAAATGACCTTTTTTGAAATCGATTAAATTTCCATTTTCTAAACAGTTTAAGCTCTCAGTATTTCATAATGCAAAGTTTGAATTAAAAAAAAAACACTCTCGTATTTTTGCTCACCCCATGTATTTTGGTTATAAACACATTTACAACTAACCATTTAAATTCATAACAATTGTGGCTGTGGGGACTAAACCATTTAACCTTTTTTGCTTTTAAATCTTTGTTTTTACGTTTTTCATTATTATTTTTACATTTTATTGAAATAAATACATTTTGTATTTGTTACACAGCACCACATTGTATACAATTGTATTTGCTATACAATACAACTGGTAAAAAAATGGTGTTAACGAAAAAAGGTGACGACCATTAAAACGATTCAACAACTCAACTCAAAAGAAAAATTATTATTATTATTATTATTGTTGCAGTGTGAGCTTTTATTATTTTGTGGCAAAACATATGAATAAAAGTTTCAAGGCACAAACATAGGTAAATACATACAGTTCTTAAATGTGCATTTGCAACAGTGGTAAATTTAACCCATTCTAATGCACTCACTCAAACAGAGTCTGTTAACTATACAATGTGTGGCTGAATGACTGGCTGCCTGTTTGGCTGACTGACTGTAATGGATGAATGGCCTGCAACTGTAAGAGCTTAGTGAGAATGTTGCAAAAAAGTGTTAACGAAAAAAAATGGAAATGAAAGTATAAAAAACACAACCGTTGCACAGTTGAATAAAAGTATATAATAAAAATGTAACCGAGCTGAAATTTATAGACTTTTATATGTTTATATTTTTTACATTTTTCTTCTAATACTTTTGCTTATAAGGCATAGTGAAGTTTAGAATAGAAATAGTAATGAAGATAAGTAA